AATTTCGTTGGTTTTTAACAAAACTTCTTTGATGCCAAAACCAAAAACGGACCAACAAATTAACAGCAAATGAAAACGTTGAAAGTTGAAACTATAGTATAACATTCAAACTCGTACAACCGAATAAACGGTTCACATATTATATTCATTGTAGTAACCTTCTTTACCGACAACAAAATATACTAAAATAATTTGGTACCGCATTGTTATATATTTTTATGCTATTTGTATACGTATGCTTCGGTTATTTTATACATAAGTTTAACGTTTGACATTTTTTTTTTCAGGTGAGTGATTGGATTTTTATTGTTATGCCCATAAATTGTTGCAGTTTTAGTCTGACCGTGTAAGGTATTTTGTTTGTTTTATTGCTCTTTTTTTTTTTTTAAATAGCTTCTAACGATTTTTCTTAAGATATATTATTTGATATTTTAAATGTTCGTGTTAGTGTTTAGTGCTTAATAATAATAACATAATTCAATGTTTGAATCAATCATATACATATTTACCTACACTTTTATAACCTGTCCATATATTTAAAATAAATTTTTTAGAAAAATTTTTAACGGCTGGTGTTTTATATAGGTACGTCATAATTATTTTTATTTAAATATTTTTACTATAATTAATAATAGTTGCTAATTTATAACGAAATTATAATAATTGTTTTTAAAGTATTATTAATAGTAATGATTAATAGAATAAATTGAATATGTAAAATTAATAGAACAATTAAAAAAACTTCATCAACTACAGTTAAGTGCCTATTCTAAAGCAATGCAATACAAATTGCACACAAACTATATTACTTATATACCGTAGTTATCGACATAGTTTTATCGTCTCGAATAAAAATAATATTTTACATACAAAGAAAGGATATTATATTTTCGAAATTATCATTCATGGGATTACGTTTCCGTTTAGTTAAGCGACCGTATCGATAGAAGAAGAAAATAATATTGTGCTTTCATTGAATATAATATAGAGAATTCTCATTTTGTGGAATGCCTTTCGTGCACGTGCTCAAGGAATTTAATTAAAAATACCTTCATATACATGCTCGACCATAAATACAACAGGAAATTAAGTTAACCATAGTTTCTGTCAAATTTAAGGATAATATATCGCGATATGATTGTATAAAATTCGTTGACAGATATTAACCGATTGTCTACCGTCTCCCGGCGTGTAGCGATTCGTTTCGATAATCGAAATGGATCTCGGTTTTTTACCGTCCTATTTTCATCACCTATACAGGAATTTTTTCAAATTTTTTCTCTTATGATACAGCATATACGTATGGCATATCGTGTGTGTGTGTGTGTTTTTAATATATATCTATTATATCTACGTAAATTTTCGTTGTTTTTTTTCGACAATTTATATTAAAATTCTTCATATCTTATACGATTATATTATAATATTTTATTTAAGGGCATAAATCATAATTGTGAATTAATTTCTTCATATAGTGTAATATTATGTATATCATGCATAAGTTTAACTCTTTGTTAGAATATTTTAATAAATAATATATTTGTTTATAAATATTAAAACGTCTGTAATTAACAGACATATACGGTTAGTTATTATAGTGTTTTTCAAGAAATAGAATTTATATACCCATAAGTATATCGGTACCTGTTATTATGTTTTTATTATTATTATTTACCCTGTAAGGCATATTATTTTATTATACGCTATACTTATTTTCTCATGACGGACATGTAGGGCGGAGACATTAAATATACGAATGATGACGTATACGCACACTGGCGTGTAGAAGCAGCCAGCCCACGGCTGTTTGATTTTCTTCTAAAACTAACAAACACGTCTGTGCATCACAATTATGTATGGTAATTCTGCTTTCAGATACGGGAATAGACAAATTGCTAATAATTATATTTATTTTTTCTGCTTAAAGAACCGTTCTCTCCTATTCCTATGTACAGCACTTACTGCATGCAAATTTAAACAATCATTATAATAGACTAGTCGTATTAATTATTCGCATAAGCTCTTGATGGTTACATATTAACTCGACAAAACGACTTACATATGCACATTATACAAACAATAATAACATGCACCTATACATTTATCGTTATAAAACGTACATAAATAAGAGTTAGACGATTTTATGTCTTCATTATAAAACTTTATAAGATAGTAAGTACCTATATAAATAGCATAAATAAATAATATTTTGAAAAAACTGATCATAATATTACAATTATGTCTAATTAAAAAGAGTTAATGCATGATTATAATAAATAAAATATTAAATCCTATTTTTATATGTTAAAATAACAGCAGTTATGTAGATACTTGTATTTTTACCTTATTTTTAGTTGCCGTCATTCGAGGTCGCTATTAAAATTACCACTTTCGTGTACATTATTAGAAATAAGTTGCTAAAAAAGAAATTATTAAGTCCGAATGGGGTCAAATCCGCTTTATAATTTTTGGTTTTTATTATTATCCGCTATTTATTACCTTGTTGTTTTTGGCGTCAATTATAAGGATTTCTGATGACTGTACACGCACATGCCCTATTTAGGACCTTTAACCTTGGGGTTAAAGTTCGTTACGCTCAGTGTCTAATTTAAACACAGTTAACAATAATTAGCATTTCATCTTTTAACATATTTGTCCCTATTGTTTTTTTACACAACAAAATAATTTCATATTTTTTACGTTATACAATTGATAAATTGTTCAAGTAGTTAAAAGATTTTCAGCTGTTTAAAATTATAATTTCTACGTACAAAATAAATACAAAATAAATTATTAGTCTGATATTATTTAATAATGTTTATTATGTTTTAAATATTTTGGTCGTCATTTGTTACTCTAATAATTTGTTGTTAGTGACGATAAATTAAACTAAAAATTCCCATTTGGTCAAACATAATTACAACTAATCTAATGTAGTTTAAATAAATACAATAATGTCAATAATATCTTATTGATTATACCATCTGATATACTTTATTGATTAATGTGGTTACGTTTGTTTATGGCCTAGTCTTTATCCATACAAACTCGTTATAAAAAATAAAAACTTCCTATTTCAGTCACATATAATATCCATTATAGATTATCAATGTATCATTTTCATTTTCATATTTATATTTTAATTAAAACATTAAAACCTTATCAATATAGCATCATGATATTTTATGCTGTCGATGACAGGCGAATTTAAATTGTATAGCTTCTCTGTCAGTATTGATTATTATAGAATTACAACTAAATATAATTATTACAGATATTATTAACGCAGTTAAATTTAACAATATTTGTTTTTAATAATTTTGAATGGATAGAGTTGTAGGTATTTATTAAAAAAGTACATTCTTTCTTAAACGGTTATGTTTCCTATATTATTTAATATTTTTTTGATAACAATGGGATGTGTGTCTATAATTTTATATTAAACTATTTTATATAGTGTATCATGTAAATTATTTACTGTTCTACGTTGTATATTCCAGGGTAGATTTTAAAATGAAAAAAAGAGGTGTACTGTATTATAAAGAAAATTTAGTCATACGTATAGACAATTTCATACTATAAATTAAATACTTATGATTTTAAAAATTAATAAACCTTTTATTTAGTATTTTAGTTAGGTACTTTGTATTATTTGTAAGTATTACAATTACTTACACATTTTTGTAAGTTAGTTAAACGAAAAAATAATCTTCAAAACAGTACTTAGAGGTAGTGACTCAGCCCTTACATTACATAGTCCTCTTTTTTTATCAATCACTGAGTGTGTATGAGTTATATTCATATTACCGTGACATTGAAAAAGTAACATAATTATAGTACCAACCGATATATTATTATAACGGTACAATTGCAATATGCGTGCGTTTGGATTAATTTTATGCCAAATAACTGTGTTATGAAATCGAATAATAATAATTAATAGGAATGGTATTCATGTTGAATACACCTCAAAACTATTATAGTTTACGATTACTAACTAACCATTCATTAGCCAATTCTCGCCACTACGGTTTAGTTTTTGGCTAACAGTCATAATATTATCGTTTAAAACGTTTAGAAAAACATATTGTAATATATACATTTGCAGAAATATAAATACTAAGTTTCAACCTCATTTATTTGATTTACTTAATGTTGGATTTGCAAATATATTGTGAATGCAAAACAATTAATAGATTATATTAAAACAAATTTTATTGTTACATCAGCAGTAGTTTTCTTTACGAATTATGGCGGACTTAAAAACGATCGACTAGTCAAACCGAGTCACAATCTCAACTTAAGTCTTCAGCACGATCGCGCAAACTAACTTTAAACTTTAACTTTATAAGTTTGTTTGCATCTACGCACTCAGCTGTGTAAAGAGTTAAAGGCGCCAAATCGTGAAAACGAAAAAATCAAAAAAGCGTTTCATGACGCATAGCAATATAATACGCTCGTACAAACACGACAGCCTTTAAATATTTTTATTATAATAAACACCGCAAACATAAAATTATTTTAAATTATACACGAGTACATTCGCACTTTACTCGTATTTCAGTCAGCAACGTATTTGAGAGAAAATGTTGTATTTTTTATAGGGCCTATCGGGTCTTGGGTTTTTTTTTTTATTTTGTTCAAATTGTATCTACAGTAATACAATTATCTAATAAGTATGATTAATTAAATAAAAAATTAATATTACAATATTGAAAAAAACCAATTATTAGCCATGCCTATCTCCCTCTTGATCAAACTTTAGATACGCCACTGATTCGGAGACGCAGTGCAAAACCAAGACATCCGAAAATTGTAATTATAATACAGTTGGCCGATCCCCCCTTTGGCCCACCTAACATGAATCAAGCTCGTATAAAATATGTATTATTGTAATACCCACCGCGCGATGGTGAGGAGGTCAGGCGCCGCCGTCGCCGCCGCCGACTCAGCCGCCGCCGTCGTTCAAGTTCAAACGTCGAGCAACACCCGTCGATTACACTGCCGTCGCGTTCGCCCTGACGGTCACCAGTGCGCGTCCGCGGTGGACATTTTTTTCGCTCATCGCGGTGTGCCGCCCGTCGGTTTACTATCTTTGAACATAGTTGTACACATATAAATATATACGTATACGATAGTGATAACTGACGATGACACGTGCTCACGAGTCGTTAATTTTTTAAGACCCAATTAAGTTTTGAAAGAAAAAAAAATACAATATTTCGTTCTAGTGTGGAAAATCGTCAGTTTTCAACCATCAATGGACCAGGTATCGTGAGCTCACCTTTCACGTCCATGAGGTAATCCTCAGACCATATCTGGCATTGTTTCGTTTTTATGTTATCAAAATTAATGTCTATTGACGATGTGTGCACGCGATCCGTTTGCTGCTGTTTCGGAACCGATTTCGATATAAGCACATTAATTTAATTTTTTTTTTTATGTGTTTTTGACTTAATTCGTTCATGTCATATTCCGAATCAAATCCGGTTTTATTACTTGGCCAATCGTCTTTTCTAGATCACTGTTGATCCGATGGCCAATTTTTTTTTTCATTGCACCGTGTAAACTGGGTCTAATTTTTTGTTACATTCGATTCCGTACCATCAAAGTCGCCCAAGTAAAGAGGTTTTGAAAATATCTTGTTACGTTATTTTTTTTTCAATAAACACGTTTGTTTATTTTCATATTTTTTTACGAGCTCTATTTAAAATTGTGTAATTTATTAACAAATTATTCATTGCAACTATCTATTTAAAATATCTACTATAAATGTTTTAATAGTTTGTATTTTAAACTCGTTTCCTTTATAACTTTTAAATGGTGTTATATCTAAAATATGTATAATTAAAATTATGAAAGATCATTTTTGATATTGATCTCATAAGTTATTTGTATTTATATTATAATTTTAACCCATTTCTTGTTTAAAATAAAAAAAATTAAAAAGTCAAATAATTGTATTTTATGAAAGAAAAATCTGATGTGTAATTTGTAATGTACCTAAGTATCAATACTTAAATAAAATATGAAATTACCATGGTAATTTTATCTTTTCATTATCATACCTATATAGTATATAGTATAAAGATTAAAGAATCTTCTGAAATGAACTTTTAGGTAAATATCGCATCTTTGGTTTCAACGATGATGAGTTAATTCGTTATATTTTTTTCTTTCGAAAATTAGCCTCGCACATAATAACACGTAAAAATCGACAAACAGGTTTTGTGGATGAAATTATGAACGCTCAGGTTAAGATGCAAGAGGATAACAATAATTGCGTTTCAATATATACGCCTCCCGGGTCGAATTTCTTTTGATTCATTAATTTGGTTAACGGAAAACAGATCAATCCCTAAATTTTGTAGCGTTCGGATCGTGCACACGTCACACCTTTACTTAGCAGTCGGCTAGAACGAATGCTATATTTATTTTATAAATATATAATTATTCTTGATGATATATACCTTAAAAAGATATAAGTGAAACAATTTATGGCATAAAAAAACAATCATAAGAAATACAATATTGATAATTAAAATGTATGTGTTTTAATAACTTACACGCGTGACTTATGTATAAAATAATTACCTAGATTTAAGAGTAAATCATCGCTGTACAAGCCTAAAAAATTAATTTATTAATTAATTTTACGTAATTTTTGTTGATCTATAATACTAATATCATAATATCATTATTATTCTTAGTTCGTTTAATTTTCATGATATTTGTTCGTGTTTTAGTAGAAATTTGTTTACTTTTGAGTATTTTTTTACGCCTTAAATTTTTTCATTGTATACTTATATATATATATCACACGTTCTCGACAAATCGCCGTTAGTTACGATAGCTCCGTATTGCAGTCGGTTATCGCCGAGTGACAGCTGCAGGGGCCGTGGCGGCAGCGGTGACGAAAACAAACGGCCCATATAGTCGGTCGCCACGGAGCATCAGTGGTAAACCAGTGGCGACCGATCAGCAAACCAACCAGTGGCGGAAGAATGGCACACATGGAAGCTGACTTGGATTCAGGGCTAGCGACGTGCAGTGATCTCCCAAGTTGCAGCGAAGTGCTATGTCCGGTGGTGGTCAAAACCGAAGTACCAACTCTCAAGCAGCACTACTATCCAGAAGGCGGTTGGGGATGGATCATTGTGGCCGTGTCATTTGCTGTGCACGTTCTCAACATAGGACTGCACATGTCTTCAGGTGTCATGCTTCCGATTGTCGCGCGCAATTTTCCTCATGCCTCTTTTGGATCGGCAGGTTAGCTTCGCAAACGTAACATAATATATACCTACTTACGTACTTTTATGAACGTACTTTTATTTCAAATTGTAATAAAATATTTTTTAGTACATATCAAAGCATATTACAATAACTGTACACAGAAAAAGATGCGTATTGTTGTTATATGGTATTCAAACAAATACACATTATACACATTACACTTTCGATTTCATTTTCATATAACTGGTGATTTCTTGCTTCTTTAGCAAAAAGAAAAAAATATATATTGAAAATTCCATAGATTTATTTGAAATGAAAACAAGATGAAAAACAATTTAGTGTAGGCGCTTAAGAAGTAACCATACATAGGTTTATTGTATAAGAATTTATTCTTTTAACTTTTACTTAACGGTAATTAAAAAAAAATATTGTTAAGTTTTTTAGGTATTTCAACATTAAATTGTATTACTTTATATTTCATATTAACCCTAGTCCTAGTTATTTTTAATAACCTATTAGTTGTAAGTTATAAAAAATGTTAGTGATATAAATACTACAGCGTTTGCATCTTTATTTTCTACAAAACCTAGTTATATACCAGAATTAGTCAAAATGTAATGCTTGATACTGAAAAGTGAGCATAGTTTAACATTTATTGATTTAATTTTTTATTTCCCAATTTTTTCAAATACATTTAATATAAAAACGATTTTTCTTATCTATATTGGTTATGTTTTGTTAATTCATCAATTTAAGATTTGTTTTTTGTATTTATTATTTTTTATGCAAACATTTAATTTAATTTTTATCTTCATTAATATTACCAATAAGTCATTCACTTAATTTCGATCACATTTAAAATATTTAAAATGATTATATATAAATATATATATTTATAGTTTTTTATCGTGACAAACATATAAGTCGTATTTGGTTCACATATTTTTAATTTTCTAATCAAACGCTCGCTTATCGATTATTATCTGTGCATATTCTTAAATTCTAATTCACAATTTTTATTGTAACTCATAAAACTATATTACAAAATATATTTATACGTTTATTAGTGCTATTAATTTTTTTTTCTATTTGTGGCAGTAATTTCATATTTAAATTTTAAATAAAATGAGTTCTTAATTATATAAATTTGAATTCCAAATATCCCCAAAATTTTATAAACTCCAAATATTTTTTCCATCTCATTAATAACACCATAATATTATCTAGAGCTATTACACACAAACGAATATTATTCATAATCTACCTGTTCATTAGAATTTATGTAATTTGTATTTCAGAATCCCTTTAGTGATGTTTTCTATTTGATCTATTCGCGAGCCAATGGCGTATTTGTGATGAAACGTCAATAACTGCCGACTCGATGTACTTAGTTAAAATTTACTATCGATTTAAACTATCAAAGCTTTCAACGCAGCATACACAAAACAACAAAGTTCATCCCGGATTCCTGAGACCCACCCCCGTACATGTTACGTGACTTATTGTCTGACAATCCTCTACTATATGCTACACATAATACATATATATATATATATATATATATATATATATATACAATATACATGTTTGCTATACTTTCAACTTCGAAATCTTGAAAGAGAGTAATCACGTTCGAGAAATTGCGAAAAGTAACACAATTTGTAGTACAGCACCATATGAAATTACCTACTATGTGTTACTTTTAATAGGAGTTAAAAATTAAGAATTTATTAATTATTTAATTAATTATTTTTACACGGTTCTGAAAAAATAGTATAGTAAATGTTTTTTTAGTACCCACTAATTTGGTTAATTTGGATATTATTTATTGAATAAATGCCCGTAGGTTCTATTATAGATATTTTCATCTATACTTTCAGAAATAATCAAAAATATTAGATACTATCTTAGAGCATCATTAAATGAAAATAATGATATTGAATATAATAATGTCAATATAATATTCATTTTGGATTAAAAAAAGAAAAAAGAAAATAATACTTTTTTAAATACCACTATATAATAATATGTATTTATTTATTGATCTATAATTTATTGTTCTAAAATATAATTCTAGATACTTTTACGAATAAGTATGCATATTGTAAGACCTATTGAGGTAAAAATAAATTCAAAATAAAACTGTATGCATTAATATTATAACATAATATGTATATAGTGATGGTGAAATCGCTCTTAAAACTGCACCTAGTTTTTATGTTACTTATGCATCGAACATATTATAGGGATATATTATATGCCAGTGACTCGTGTTTTATCTTTAAATCGTTGTCGATCGTGTAGGATACCAACGTTCATACACAGCATATTATATACGATATACGAGCGATTAAATACTGTGATGTATAACTGATATTATCCTCACGAGATAATCGATGATTTTGTCGTTTGAGCAACTATTTGCACGATTTAATACTCCAATGCTATTCAGTGACTTTTAAACATTAATGTGGTTTATTGTATTTCAATTGAATATGCTTATTTTTCTATTTGATGAATATTAATAACGATAAGAAGTTTATAACGTATAATGATCGATTTGAATCTAGTTTTATGTGATTTATTCATAAATAATTATCACAGCAATATATGTTTTGAAGGAGACTGTAATATTTAGCTTAGTTTACTCTAGTAAAATAAAAACGAGAACGACTTGCAATTCACTTTCTTAAATTTCTCAAGTAAGTTCTACAGTTTAGGAAGGAAAAAAGGAAAAAAAACTTAAATGTTTTTCGAACGGTATTAAATCTTCTCCATATTATGCAATGTAAATATAATATACATACAAATATGTATTTATAATAAATTATTCAAACAAAATATTATAAAAACTTCAGAAATTAATTGTATTATAATTATTAGGTACTATTATTGTTCGGAAAACTATTAAAATATTCTGTCTATATGGCACGTTATATTATATGTAGTGATTTAAATTCATTAGACAATTGAAATAAACGGTGATACGATAGAAATTGTTCACAATATTATTATTTACTCGCGTACTTTATTATGTACATAGTACATACAAACAATATAATTTTTTTCATAAAAAAATTTATATTTTACATAATACATTAGATGTAGATCACAGTGATGTTTTTATTACGTAGGTTAAACACAGGTCCATCTGCAGATTACGGTTCAGTATTTGTACGTGTTATTTTTATATGTATTATGTAAATAAGCGTGTATAATGCTAACACATTAATGTACAAACGGAACATTTTGGGCAAGTATGATCAGATGGAACCACTTCAACTACGTTAGATTTATACCAATATATTATTATACAATATAATATATTTAAGACCAACTGTAATAAATTGTCAGTCGATTTACAATGGCAGTGTTTCCTAATAACTTAACAATTGCAATATTCGTATTATATATATATTACTATATTGATTGTTGTTTTGCACAGATTATAACGCATCAATAGCACGATATTATATTCTGTGACACGAAATAAATGATTATTACGATTAAGATTTGATATTTTAATTAATTTCTTAACGTACTGCAGCAGAAATTAATATACTAGCTATCACGACACTCTTACGGACTTTGAAGTTTTAGTTGATTTTTGGATTTCATGTGTCCTCCAGTATTATTATTTTTTTTGTTTTGCAATTTTTTCTGATTGGTGCGTCCATTCAAAGTTCCAGAGCACGGAGCGATTATGGTAATTTTCGATAGAAAAAATATGTATATGACCGACGTGTAAAACTCCGAGTGCCCTTGGGGAAAATGGCGGCCCATTAGATGGTTCGTTTGATTCGGAAATAATTATACGTCTCGTGCGCACGCGGTGGAATGAAGAAACGTTAGCGCGTAAATAATAACGATGACTATATTGCTATACACGATATATTACATAGTTCAATATATATATATATATATGTACCTATAGCCAAAAAATATTTTGACAATTTTACCGTCCCTCGATATGAAATACAGAGATATAGTGAGTGAGAGGAGAGAACGATATGGAGTGTGTGAAACATGAAGAGAGATCAATTTGAATTATTTTTACGCGTTTTGTATTTTGTATTTTATTTTTTTTTTTTTTTTTGAGCTATCTCAATCGGTTGGGTGGGTAAGGTTATCGAGAACGTGATTTCGTTGTGATTTATGCTGCTCTATAAATAATAGTTGTATTTCCCAGTGTGTATAATGACATATATACCTTCTAAAAATATTGACGCGATCAACAAAATACTAAATCTTGTATTATTGAGAAAACCATTTTGCGGCCTATACTTAATAATATACCGAACACCAGAGCCACTCGAGACACGTACGATGTACATTTCTACGTTAATACATAATATCGTTTGAAAAATAATCGTTTAACAACAATGATATGTGATTTGAAAATTTAATTTCTTCGGTTTATTATAAAATTAGTAATACGTGAAATCTAAATTGTATTAAAAAAAAAAAACTGTCTGATATCATACACAATGCCGTACCGACGTGTTAACAACTTTTACAGATTTACAACGAACAAACAATAATAATAATTATTATGGTATTTTAATACGCCCCGTTAACACGGTAACGTTCTTAATGAAAAATATACGCATCTAACATTTGGATATGAACCAATACCTGTAATCCATTATTGCATACACACATTATAGATACTTATTATTGCTATTATTTTTTGCTTTGCGATCGATCACCTGATATATATATATATAGAGAGAGAGAGAGAGGCTAAAATTGTATCTCGAGTCGTTGTGTATAATACGCTCCAATGTATAATAAAATTATTATCTTATATCAGTGATTAATAATAATTGTGTGTTGTTCAGGTGATGGTGTGGTACCATTGCAGTATTTTCGTAGCACGTGTTTATTTATAATATTAAATAAATATTTCGTAGGAGTAAACATATAACATATAAATTATACATAATATTGATTTAATTAACAACTGTATAATAATACCTATACATTATTGTTGTACTGTGGCTGCTTGATTTAAGATGCAATCAATTGTATGCAAT